GGGGGGGGGGGGGGGGGGGGGGGGGGGGGGGGGGGGGGGGGGGGGGGGGGGGGGGGGGGGGGCGGCGAATCGAGCCAAAAAAAACAACTCGGGGGATGAAAACCAATCGCAACTCGTGCGGAAACCTGACATACTTCTGTGGTGAAGAACATCGGACGTACGTCAGCATGAATTCTACCAAGAGGAAGCGTACGTAAACTGGTAAAACCGCCACTCAGGCCACTTCAAGGGGGAAAGCGCTGGGGGGGAGGTGCTGGGCTTGGACGGAAAAAAAATCGGCAAGGGATATGGAACTTCCTCGACATATTTCCCAAATATCTGTTTATGCCCTCTAGCATGCACAACTAACAACGGCGTGCACAACACGAACGGTGGTAGCACGTGTCACGTGTTCATCGACCCTGTTGTAAGCCCGCGAAAACTAACACCCCTCCTCGCAGGGTACACTCGCCTGGCCGAGGCTGGCCGCGGCGAGCGACGTCGAGTTGAACTTGTCGAACAGTTGATCGATGGGCGCGCCCAGCTCCCTTTCGATGATGATGACCGCCTTAGCTCCCCCGAAGCCGGGCACATTGTCCTGGAGCTGCTGAAGCTCCTCGATGTACTCGGTCGACAGAAGGTCAACTCGTGTAGACAGCAACTGCAGCCACACGCGTCCACGGGAGGGGCAGAGCGGTGTCAGGGGTGTGTGCCAGGGGGGTGTGCCAGAACCACACAAGGCCAAAGCCACGTTACCAAACCATGTATTTACAGGGATTGCAGCAGTACTAGGCTTCGCCACCCACATGGGTCACCAGTGTCCCACTTGATAAAGGACAGAAGAATAAGCTATGATCCACTGGAGCTGGAGCCGTAGCCCGAACAGGACAACTTCACGCGTGCCGATCAATCAATTTATCAAACAAGAAATACCGGCTGAAAGGGGTCTGTCAAGACGCCGCCAGTTAGTACTTGAAAACGAGTGTTCTGGTGTGCATAAGTCAGGAGATGCTGCGTCTCTCTACTTTCGAGAACGCAAGAATAGCATGTAGCTCGGTTGACATATTGAGCTTCTGTTGTTCGTTTCGACAGCACACACAAAACCAGTCACACACATTACGCTCAGGAACACAGGCAAAGACCAAAAAAGGGTACACCCTCGGAGGTCCGCCGGATCTCGTCGCGTTGGATCCAACGGGTACAGGTGATGTCAAAGTGGTTTTATCATAGTAGCACCGAAATCGCGATCTGAAGTTTTGTCTGAGGCACAGTTTCCCTCAATGGCCTCGCTCGTACTATTCGGGTTTCCGGAATCTCCCTAACACAAGTCAAGTGTGTTTCGAGCCCCTCATTTGAGGATCAGCGGCAAATACATGCACCTACTAGAGTTGCCCCAACTCGTACGGCTACCCTGCGAGATCGGCACAGCCGCTGCTGTCCACTATCGTCCTTGGGGGCCCTCCTGCGGCGCTGACTGCTTTCTCTTTTGGCGGTGGAACCTCCAACACACCGAGCGTCTCGCGCGTGATCGGCACTACAGTGTGAGGGCGGTGGGGAACAGCCAACCTGTCGCCAGCCACAGGTGAGTCCGAGGCAGGGTGTGGTATGCAGACATCGTTCTACAGGGTGTGGTCGTAAACACACGAACCACGTGCGGTGACAGGTGCTGAATACCAAATATCCAGTGCGCTATGTCTAGGAACACTGGCTGGTTTTGCGTATGCCGCCGCTTTTGTTCCCTACTTCGGCGGTACCGCTCAAGTTTCAGCGATCTCAACTACTGCTACTGTACAGGTGTCAGGTCTGGTGGCAGGGATTGTGAAACCTCCGACCATCGTAACCTCTACTGTCCCGCTTCGAATCAAGCAAGCACAGGAAGACTGCTGTGGCGGGGATATATCCATACCCCTTTGACAATTTCTACGCTGCGAGTGCCGCCCGCCCCTCGCCCCCCGCCCCCCGCCACCAAGAGAGGATATCCCGACGTGACTACTAACCGCTTGGGAGGGGGGGTCCCGCAGGATGAAATATCAGCCAAGACCCCCTTCCGCGGGCTTCCAGATCTCGAGCTCTGCGTGTGAAGGCTTGCTGTGCTGCTGTTGTACGGGCCACAAAGGGGCGCTTTTATACACACACACGGGGTGCGCACGCACCTGTCCAATCTTGATGAAGGTGGGCCCGAGCTTGAGGAACGCCCTGCACAGGTACCGACCCAGCTTCCGCCTCCGGGCCGACATCCTCGCCTCGTCCATCTGCACGAGCTTCTGGCGCAGCAGCTTGATCAGGACGTGGAACAGGAATACCCAGATCTGCACCGTCCTAGCGGCGAAGGTGATCCTCCTTCGCCATCTCGCCGAGAACGACAGCTGCGCCTCGTCGTCCTCCTCCTCCTCCTCTACCTCGCTCGCCGCGGCCGCCACCTCCACCGCCAACGCCTCTGCCTCGGCTTTGGCCTTGGCCTTGGCCTTGGAGGACTTCGATTGCGCCGTCTCCGGCTCCCCACCGAAGAGCACTTTTTCGGGATCCCCGCCGAACAGCACGCCCGACTTCGCCGAGTAGCCGATTATGGTGTCGAGGTTCGACTTCCCGATGGACGGGTTCGTCTTCGTCTTCTTCGAGCCCTTGCCCTTCTTCCCCGACTTGGTCTTCTTCTCGCCTCCTCGCCTCGGTCTCGTCGCTGTTGCCGTTGCCCCCCCCGCCCCGGGCAGTGCCGCCGTTGTTGTCCCCGACCCTTTCCCTTCCCCTGGCGGCGTCGAAGAAGCAGCTCCCCTCTGCTCCTGCTGGACGCCATACCATTCCCCCCTGCTACTACCCTCGGCTGCTGCTCCGTCTGATGCTGCTGTATCATGCGCACGATTGCTAGTTGCATCTGAGATGCTGCTGCGGCGGCGTGTTGGCTCGCCTTCTTTTTCGTCCACCGTGTTGCCACTACCGACGGCGATGGCGCATGGTGACGCTAATCTAGTGCGGGATATCGCGCTGATTACGAGAGAGAGAGACGTGCGAGCGTGGAGCACGGGATGGTTTTCGTTACGAAAAACAGAGACAAAGGGCGGAGAGGTTGTTACATACCTGTAGACTGATATCATACCGCTGTAGCCTAGATTATTCTAGAGATCGCAAAATCTGTGTCACACATATAAATGCTGCCTTGGATTGGCATTCCAACATAACATGTTCACTTGACAACGACGACGACAAAGCGCGCAGAAGCAGCAGCACTAGCTCCTCCCCAGCATGTGGTGGCAGCGCGCACACGCAACACACGCGCATTGATTGATGCCAGCCCTCCTCAGACTGAATTCAACATTCACGAGGCGATACATACACCGATCCTGTTGCTACAGTCTGCTGTACCAAACTTGTACACGTTGTTGAACAACCAGATACACCCAAGGTACACCTGCTGCAGAGCCGATGCCCGCAGAGTGATCGCGCCAGAGGCCTAGAGTGCGGAAGGAACGAGAACCCGCCAGTCGTGGTCAACAGGACCAAGAGCGTTGAAGCTCGTAGTAGCACCCTTGCCTCGACCATGGTGACGCCAACGTGTTGACCCCGCAAACGGGCCAAAAGTTGGCGTGGCTTGTACCGCTGCGAGCAGCCGCTCGATTGCGCTGTGCACACGCCAACTCCCAACTCCTCCTTCGTCAAGCACAAGGGAAGCTACGGCGAAGCAGCAGCAGTGGACTGGGAGACCCTCTGCCTTTCCTCTCAAATGTGTTGCATTGATGTTGCCAACACACATGCTCGCGAGAGACACCTCCCCCTCTACCATTGCATGTGATTTTTATTCACCGGAGCCCCATCCGAAGCTGCTGAGCTGCAGTGCACATACCCACTTTGCAGTTAGAGACGCAGCCAACTGCTCTGCTACTGCTGTCCAGCAATGGGTAGGAGCTTGCCTGTAAACTTGACCCACTCATCCGCCTACTTGACGGACAAGCCTTACGATGTGCAGCTCGGAGTGCTGAGGTGGATCAGGGGGCTGCTCTCCGAAGTAGTCGACAACGCCGTGTCACAGCTGTCAACAACAGCAGCAGGATCCATACATAACGTGGAGCCAGAGACTCAAGGCGACGACGATGACGATGTTGCCTGTGGTAGGTCAGCCGCCCGCGAGGTCGGAGGAAGTATACCGCAGAAGGATGAAGGTGTCGACGGCAGCGAGGCTTTGAATTTGAAGTCCACGGCGGCCTTGTTGGACGAATGTGTCGGTGCGGCCACCACGGGCAGTAGGGGAGATGGAGGCAGCAGCAGCACTGGAAATGGCCGCAAGCGTCCGAGAACTTCAACACCGCTTGATCGGAGGGATGTATTTGTCCCTGGATCTGTTGTGGAGTGTTTTCACCCGGTGGGTCCGACAGGAGCGTGGTAACTTGTTGTGTGAAAGTGCCGGCGTTGGGTGCTGGTACAGAAGTGAACAGGGCTGCGAACAATTTCCGAGCGTACGGCAGTGTACAGAGTGAACAACAGTACCCGACGTGACCTCGACACGGAATGGCATCGTTACGAGAGCCTGCTATACAGGGTGGGGTTCGTTTCTCGTAGTGCGCCAGGGCACTGCTGCTGTAGATACGCAACTGCGTTTTCGCACGCATGCGTGGTAGGCACTCTTTGTCTTTGATGTACTGATCTCGCCTTTCCCCCCCCCCTCTACGCATCAAACTCCTCTCAAACATGAAACCAACACGCCCAGGATGACGGCTTGTGGTATCCAGCCACGATAACTGCCGTCATCGCACAGCCTCCTATCGAGGCACCAGCAGTGAAGGCGCATCCAGAAGCAGTAGCACCGCCGTCAGATTCGCTGCTAGCAACAGCAGCACCCACAACGCTCACTGCCAAGCACGGCGAAGGAGGGCCTACATCCCCGGCGAAGGCTACCCCGGCGGCGGCGGGCGGCGAGGCGGAGGATGGCGGTGTACACAGCTTTGTCATGGTCCATTCGTTGGCAGCAGCAGCAGCAGCGCCACCAGCAGCGGCTGATCCGACCTCCTTGGGGAAGGGGGAGGAGAGCGAAGAATGTGCGGGGCAGCAGCAGGCGCAGCAGCAGCAGCAGCAGCAGCAGAAGTTGCTCGACGTGACTTTCTTGGGCTACGGGAACCAGTCCAGGGTGCCGGTCGATTGGGCCAGGGAAATCGTGACACCGGAGGTGCTGGAATGGTGCAAGGAAAACGGCATCGTGGCAGCATCAGAGGGGGGGTTCGTGGAAAAACCCTGCGACGCGAAAGAGGAGGGCGCACTGACTACAGCAGGAGCAGGCGACAACAACACCGTCGCGGTGACGGAAGTGTGGGCAGAGACGCCAGACCCCGCCGTGAACAACAGCACAATACCGACCTCGGTTTCGAGGGAGGTCGGCGGTAGCGACAGCCAACATCCGGCCGCCGCAGGAGGTGGTTCGGGTGCTACCGGAGGCGGTGGAAAGCGGAGCAAGCAGCAGCCGCGCAAGAAGAGCAAGAAGAGCAACAAGAAGAGCGGCAGGCACCACGGCAAGGGGGGCGGCGGCCGACACGCCGGGACCCAGGGGGAGGAGGAGGAGCGCTTCCTGATGCGCTGCGCCTCCCGGTCGAAGAGCCCCTACCCGCACGTGTCCAACAAGTACTGGGGGCAGCGGTACCGCTACTTTTCGAGGTTCGACGAGGGGGTAACCATGGACGAGGAGGGCTGGTACTCGGTCACCCCGGAGGCGATCGCCCGCCACATCGCCGAGAGGGTGTGCTGCGACGTCGTGGTCGACCCGTTCGTCGGCTGCGGCGGCAACGCCGTGCAGTTTGCTCTGGTGGCCCACCTCGTCTTCGCCGTCGACATCGACCCGGTGAAGCTGGAGCACGCTCGGTGAGTTTTTTTGTGGTGTTTTTTTTGTTTTTGTTATGAGTCCTGCCGTTGTCGTTTCTTTTCCCGCGCTTGATAATTGTCTTTTGGCCGGATGAGGGCGTGAGATAGGGTGCCTGAGCGGTGAGTCCACACGGCCGTCTTGCACACGACGTTATATTGCTGCTTTAAACAACCCACGTGTGTTATGCTTGTAGACAGTGTTGAAACGGTCATTCAAGTGGGTGCTACTTGTGTCGATGCCGCCGCCCCGAGAGGACGTCCTTCACTTGCTGAAAGAGCGATGCCCCCAGTGCCAACGTTAGGCTGGCTGTGCTTGCGCCGATTCGCCGTGCTTCTCCCGCGCTTTTTTCAAAGCGAACACGAGGAACTTTGGTTTCTCGACAACATCCCTTGCCACTGATGCGGAACTCTGCGCTCAAGCTTTCTTTCGATACGCTTAATGTTTATACCTTCCCAACTTGCCACCAACTTTCGCCCACACCCTTCATGCATTCTCCCCGACGTGCACCGTTGCCCCTCAGCCGCAACGCCGCCATCTACGGAGTGGAAGACCGCATAGAGTTCATCCTGGGGGACGCCATGAAGGTGCTCCCCACGCTTAAGGCAGACGCGGTGTTCCTGTCGCCCCCCTGGGGCGGTCCCAGTTACCAAGGGTCCAAGACTTTCGACCTGGACTCCATGATCCCGCCCCCGCTGTCGGCCCTGGACATGTTTCGGGCGGCTCGGGAGGTTACACCCAACATCGTGTTCTTCTTGCCGAGGAACGTAGATCCTTACCAAGTTGCCCGGCTCCCTGCTGCCGCTGCTGCTATTCCTCGCGGCGGCGCCAGGGCCGGGATCACGGAGGAACAGCGGGGGGTAGACCTGCAGGCGATCGACGATACCTGTGAGCTCGAGAAGCACTTCCTGAACGGGAAGCTCAAGACGACGACGGCCTACTTCGGCGAGGACATCGCGATATCTTCCGGGAACACTGCTGCTGCTGCTGCTGCTGCTGCTGCTGAGGCTGGGAGGAACAGCGACCAAAGCCACGGGCCGGTTGGGACAATAGGAGGGGCAGCAGCAACAGAGACGCCCGCGGAGGTTGGGGCTGCTCTCGAGGTGGCGACTGCGAAGAACTCGAGTGAGCTGTACGGGGTTAACAACTCGAGAGTAGCCGCGACGTGGAGCGGGCGACACGTTAGGTTCAGCGAGGAGGATGACGGCGAAGGGGAAGAAGGTGGTGACGTGGCGGAAGTCAGGAATAATGACAGCACCAATGGTGGACAGGAAAGAGAAAATGCCCTGTACGAAGCGTGGATGGCCACATGACAAGAGCAATATCGTCATGCACCTATGTAGTTTTAGAATGCGCTGTACGAAGCGTGGAATGCCACGTGATTGGAAGAGCAATGTCGTCGTGCGTATGCACCTGGTTTTGTATGGAAGCAGGATCGAAATTGGCGGCAGTGGTTCTGTGAGAAACGGGGCCCTGGCGGCTGTTATGTTCGACTGATAAACTTATAGATCGCGTGATGACGAGATTCGTACGTGTTTGCTTATTTTGCCCATGTGATGCCCGCCTCGTGGCGGGGTGGTAAGGTGATTTATGCCGTTTGTTTTTGTGCAAGTTTTTTGGGGTGTTGAAATGTTTTTTATTGTGTGGTGTGTACGTTTTCCTTCGTCGTTGAAGTGCTGGCTCTCGAAGATGTTGCCAGGTATATTTTCTCGCTCTGTACGATAATATGTAGCCAGATGGTCTTACGTATAATTAGTGGTGGCCGAGGCTATAACTGCTGTAGGTTGGACTCCTTTCCGCATGCGCTCTACCTTTTTGTGCATCGCCGCATCATCTATTGTCGTGGCTGTCGATGTCTACGGTCCCTAAATTACGAAGTAGAAGGAGGTGGTCAGGGACACGGAGGATTCCCCGCGGTGCACGCCTTTGTTCAGATGTTGCATCGCAAAGAAGGGTTGGTCGGGAACCCCGTTTGTCTCGCCAAGAGTTGCAGCATTGATTGTCGTCTGTATTGTCACAGAGGGAGAGTAAGAAGAAGGTCTTGGCGATCCAAAGAGTTAAGACTAAATGTGCGTGTAAAGAGACCACCGCGACGACGCCAGTGAAGGAGTTCTACTGCATCGATTGCCAGGTCACTTGTCAATTTTTGAAGCTCGATTCATCTCCCTACTCCCCACCGAAGATGATGTTGAAAACAATGGTTTTGGAAGTCCGTCCTCGAAGTCTTTTGTACAAGCACATTTGTAAACTGCTCGTTCGCAGTCTTCATAAGAAAACGTCCAGCTCCTCTATTTACACGGCTCTTGCGCGACAAATGCTCTTGTCATGAATTTCGCTCAGTTCACCCCGACCAGCGACGACTTTTAAAACCCAAACGAATGATGCCATACTTATCTCGCACCGTCACACGACCACCGCGCAGCGCAACATACATGACACATGATGTTATGCACTTTTTTTTTTTTACGTTGACCCCCCGCACCCCATGGACAGAAGCACCAACAGGGGGCCCCTGGGCATTTGTCCCTTTCGTCCATCATCCCACAGCAGCCGTGTGCGTGTCTGGTCTCTTGCGCACTGTCTCGCGAACACATCCAGTGAGGTGCAGCTCACCCCGTAGCCTACCGCAACCCCGTTGTTCCAGCAGTATTTCCTTCTAGGAGCTGCCTCGTTCCACGGCAGTCAACCGGTGTCACAGACAGCAGGGCGGAGAGACCGGGGGGGTGGAGCGAGACGGAATAAGCCTTGGCGAGCTGGCGGCTGGACAGAGCAGCCTCAGGGCAGACTGCCAGTGGTAGACCAAGATGTTCTTCCGTTACGCTCTGGTGTTGGTTGGACTATCCATTGCCTACGGGATAGAGCCCACTCCTATCCTGATTGACGTATTACCGGGAGAGACAAGGTACGGAACGTTGCGTTCGGTAGTGTAACCCCGCTTGCCTGGATACCTGCTCTGCTGCTGCCTGTTTTGGACACTCTCTGTATAGTCTACATGTCATACATGTACGCTGCATCAGCTTACAGTGCTCTTACAGGCTAGAGTATGCACAGCAGAACATCGCATGGGTTACTCGAGTTTTTGGATAACGATGATTATCTTGGTCCCACACCGACACCACAGCAATGAATGACAGACAACACCGTCATCCCGCTGACTGCTGTAACGAAAAGCCTTGCCTGTCCCTCGACAGCAGGTAGTGCTGCCTGCAGCTATGTTTGCAAAGCAGTATGCATACGTAAAATCGCACGGACTATTGAATTCTTGTGGATGAAGTTATTTATTTGGTCCCATAGACACCTGCCACAGCAGTGCGCGACACATGCTTCACTGCGTACTGCTGTACCCACGGTATGTGCTGGCGCCAGTATCGCCAGCCCCCCTCGACAAGAGTTCGTTCTCGGGGGGGGGAGGGCGAACAACCTCATACGTACTCTTTCGGCCAACTTCGTGACATGAAACATCAGCGAATGCCACCTGGCATGCGTCTGTCCGTGTCACGACAGCCATAGTGCTGTATTTCGCGGAGCCTCGACCGCATGCGAGCAGTGTGCCAGGGATGAGGCGGGGGGGGGGGGGGGGGGGGGGG